GTATCAAGTTCATTAGAACTTGTTTATACTCACCATAATATCAACCACAATGATCAGTTACTTGACTACTAACTAAACTCAGTAACCATTTGTTTGCCAAATTCATACAATTCCATACTATAACCATCAACCTGTTTAACCATGTAAATCATTGAGTAAATCTTATATATTTACAACTCCTGTAAATTTGAGTTTATGGCCCTTCATACTTATTCTATAAAAATAATAATATGATAACGTATTTAGTGGATACCTTAGCCCATATTGCAGTCATATCCTCGCGACCCGACCTCACGAACTCATCAAGGACAAAATCCTCGCTCACCGAATTTGGTTTAATATGCCAAACCAAACCATTGGAATCATCTTTCAACTATTACAGTTGGCTGAGAATCCTAGTTTGCATCGTGACATTTAATATGTTCGAGTCGCGACGATGCGCAACATATATGAATACGCCACATAGCTCATTCAATCGTCACTTGTCCATTCCCAAACCATATGTTAGCTAATGCCACGACACCTCACTGCGTCACGACATTGAACATGTTTGCATTGCTAATTTACATTTCTTCAACACACTAAATTATAGCAATGTACTATTCTTCACACCATGTTCCTTTTTACATATGCACTCTGATTTCAAAGTACACTACTCTCCTATTCTTAGAGGATTTTTAATGATTAGCAACCCATTCTCTTCGGCAATGTATGTATTCATATTATACATAATAATACCTATCATAATAACATGTATTAGAGTATAGTTATCAATTTCACAAGTAAAAGAAGATCTAATGGATTTGGGTATGGACTTTCAAAGTTTGTATTGTAGAAAGGTCCGTGCAGGGATAAACTTGATTGGAAGGACAATTGGTGAATGATTTACTCCTTAAAATGGTTTTTCCAAAACTCTATAGAATTAAAGCTAAAAAGAATTGTGTAATTGTAGAAAAAAAGACTTTAGGGGTTGCTTCGGTGGATCAATAGTAATGGAGTTAAGCTAGACAAATTCGTGGTGGGAAGGAATTGCAAGAATTATGTGGGTTGTTGGCTATGCTTGGAAATGTTTCTTTGTAAAACATTATTGACTCATGCTAATGGGCTATAGTAGGCGATGTGAAGTTCGTAGGCTGGTCTTTAAGAAATGAGATTGAGGTTTTACTTGGGAGTAGCATGATTGTGATCCTCAAATTGTTCAAGCGGATGCCCATGTAGGTCAATTGTTTTTGTTGGAAGGTTTTTCAGAATTGTAACCAAACTACTGTAAATCTGCAAGTGGGGGGTTTGAACTTAGTTCGTCCCGATGTTGTGTGCAATCTCGAACAAGAAACATTGAAGCATTTATTTTTTAAATGTATATTTTCGCTAAAGCTTTGGAAGTGGTTATGTTGTTGGAGTAAGTTGGTGTCTATCCATCACTCATTAATTGAATTAGAAACTTTGGTTATGGCATTTTCATGAAGGGGTGACATCCTTTTGAAAGTGACAAACGATTTTCAACTTCTCTCGTTTAATTGAATCGAGAATAGGGTTAAAAGATCTAGTTTGTTATGTTAAATCTTTTTTTTTTTTTTTATTATTATTATTTTTTTATTGTGTTACCTTTTAAGCTTAAATCATTACTTGACTCGCTTTAAATAAATATATTAGTAAATAATATATTCAAACTAAACCTTGGTGAAAGAAATCGTTGGAATCAAAATTTGGGATCTCAAAATCCAAGACAAATCCCTATATATCATTTAAAAAACGATAAAGAAAAACAAGTGGAAAGAATCTTGGAGGACAAAAATGGTACGGATTAACCTGAGATCCAATGTGTCTCACTTTAAATATGTTTTAATTAATTATAGAAAACAAATATTTAGTTTCCAAAATATATGTATATAATTATTCATTTGCTTAAAAAAAAAAAAAAAAAAAAAAAAATTATTATAGTTTTTGGCAAAGTAATTATTTATGTATGCAGTTGTGTTGTAAAATATTTAATGATTGGAAGTCTTTTTCAGTAAATGAATGTTTCTACTTTCTACAAGTTGTGAAGGGATTGTTTCACCGTTCAGCTTTCATATGTAATACGTTTTATATTATACTCTTTGATTTTGTATGATCGTCTTCAATTCCCCCAAAAGTCTTATGTACACTGCTTTCGTTAGAAAACATTTTTCTTTTAATATTATATTTATTAGGCATAATTTTTGTTTTTTGAAAGAAAACCTAACGAGAATTTATGATCATGTTTTATATACCGATTAATCTTCTAATGTAAACATAAGCTCATATCTTATGTCCTAGAGTCATTAAAGACGGACGTCGAACATGAAACAATGAGATATATAGATTGAAGTTCATAGAATACTAATGCATTTTTTTATTTGTCTCGATTTTTCTGTGTGACTAAACTAGGTCACAAAAATAATCTTTGTAAGTAGTAATATTTGATAAATTATCATTATCACCCAATACTCGGCTTTCAAGAGAGCTAGATATCAAGATGTTGGGAATATTTTCAAATGATCATCCGAAACTATCAATGATTTACCAACCAATGAACAAACCACATCATACAAAACGTAAATCTAGGGGATATTACCATTGATCATACGGAGCTATCACTCATGAACCTTTCCTATTTATATTTTAGCCTACCAACTTTCATTACAATTTATTGCAACTTTCATCACAATTTATTGCATGATCCGAAAATAATAGAAGCAATATCTTTTGCTTTTTCCAAGACTAGCGTATTTATATTTTAGTGACTTCATTTCTTCATCTTCAAAGGAAATTTTTCTCCCTTTTCATTATTTCATTTTCTTTTCTTCTGATTTCATCAACATATTTTAGCTACATTAGCAAATAAGAAGTTCGCAACAAATTTGGACAGCCATCAGAAAATGGTAATAAGCTGGTGTGGGACTAGCCCACTTGCTAGGGACGAAATCCTCTTAGATTGGTGGTTCCAGGTTCAAATCCAAATGAATGGAAATTCACTAACATGATGAATTTAACTTCTACCGACTAACTAATCTTTTAAAAAAGAAAAATAAATAAGTAAATAAATGAAATCAAACAATCGTAAGAAAGTAATGGATTTACACGTCCTTGATCTTACCATTTTGGTGTAACATCCCTTATAATTCTAACTTTAAATTGCATTTTAAAACTTAGTAAAAATAAATATCTTAAATATTACATTGAAGTCCTATAACTTTTCAAAACTATCGAAACAATTAACTAAACAAAGTAAACAATAGAGATATATGGAAATAATAAGAGAAATAAATGTAGGTCTATTGTTACATTTAAACTAAAATAGACATCTTCTATATCTTCTCACTAATCTTGGTTCCTCATATTCCTAATACTTGTTCTTTTTTACCTAAAGTAAATATTAAAGTAGTATGCTAAGTTATAAAGCATTCTAATTTACACAAAAGTTAATTTAAAAAAAAATATTTAAAATCGAAGCATACATGCATACATACATATTGTTAGGAACATATTCGTATAGATTTAATGATGTAAAAGTTACACATTATGGTTATAGTTTATCTGCTTATTGTAGATAGTCAGTCTTGTCTAACCCACTGTAAATAATACAACTTAGACAAGCTGATTTGTTAGAGTTTTTTTATTTAGTTAATATGAAGATATGCTGATGGAAGCTCATATGTCGAAGACTGAAGAACAGATCCGAACTGGCTTAGTTGATCAAATCTGCAATTAATACTTGAAGTCTTGGTACTACTGAAGATCATCTCCTGATGACCAAAAGATATTGAAGGAGCTCTCAGCACCAAAGGAACTGAAAGTATGATCAACACAAAGATACCATTCACTGATGACTGAGTAGGGTGTTTATACTCTGAAGTTCTTATACTGATGACACACTAATGATATGACACGTTGATGACTTGATACACTAATACACACTGATGATCATACAATATCTGCTGAAGTTGAAGCTACTCTTGCTAAAGTTAAAGCTGATCAGCGGATCATCTTATGACGCTGATGTTGCTGCCCTTGATCAACGTATACCTTCTAGGTCTTGATGTTCGAATCTGGAGTAGATCATAACTACTTGGTGAAGAAGTATTTTGAAGATCTTATCTAATTTGATCCTTAAATACCAGATCTACATTTATTTTATAAGATTCAATCCCATCAAATTAGCGATTTTATTTAAGTAGAAGATCTAGAGAATATGCAAAATTCTTATGTCCTAGGTTTAGACTAATATTGATACTATCCTCTCTCATTTGTTGAGAGTTAAATATATATATATATATATATATATATATATATATATATATATATATATATTATGTTATGAGAGAGAAAGAGAGAGAGAGAGAGAGAGAGAGAGAGAGAGAATGACTTTTTGCAAAGAGAACTGAGAGTTCTTATTGAGTTCTTACAGATGATTCAGAATATTGGTTATTTTGAATCATTGTACTCGTTCTCTTGGTGAGAACACTTTTCTTAGTTCAAAACTCGATAAATGAAATTGGTTTTTATTTTTTAAATACTTGTGTTGTTATTTCATGTTTCTATTAGATTCATACACAAATGTTAGGGTTAAGGAACTTCCAATTGGTATTAGAGCAGGTTAGAACACCTGTTTTATTATCTATTGAAGATTCAGAAATTCAAACATTATTCAGAAACTCAAAATTTGAAGAAGCAGAAGCAGAAGAAGAAGAAGAAGAAGAAGAAGAAGAAGAAGAAGATATCTTCTAAAATCATCGAGATATGAAGAGTAATTCTGACATTTAGAAAAAAGAGTATCGTATTTCCTCTTATATTTGGTCCTATTTGTATGTATCCAATATGCATGGTCCTTATAATGTCTTTTAGCTGATATAATTATTCTTAAGTGGAAGGTTCAACAAAGATACAAATGTTTTTATGAAGAAGAAAACAAAAAAGTGAAAAAAAAAATAATAAAAAGGCAATCATTGCAAATCCTTTATCTTGTTTTTGTTGAACTGATGTATGATTCAAAGGCATCGCTAGATGTTTTATTCTTGGTTGAACTGGATATGAAAGACAAAATCATCGATATTAAATTGTTGAGGAAGAATCTTGTTGAAGGGGAGAAAGAGCTATCAAAAATGAATGAAAAGATTGAAGAAAAAGATGTAAAGAAGAAAAGGTTTTTGTCTGTAAGTGTTCAAACAGAAGATATACCTAAAGAATGTTCATCATTAAGAAACCATAGTCTTCACTCGGATGAGCATCACAACAGCTCTTTCACTGATAACCTTCATGTCGACAACCTTCATGTTGAGAAACCACAAAATGATGATACTTAAAAAGCTTTATTAGAACCTATTACCATTCTCAAATGCCTCATTCCCTCAGTCTTACCTCACACTAAACTTAATTCACTTCATACTATAGAGAAAGATCGCACTGCCAAGACACCTTACACTGTCAAGACATCACATGCTCATAAGTCAGTTTACCTTGATAGGGTTGTTCATAGTGCAAAGTCAGTTCACGCTGATAAGTCGATTCTCACTGCCAAGAGGATTCACCTTGCAAAGATATTTCACACTATCACTCAATTTCATCATGTCAAGACTCAAGTTGATTATCCAATTCAAAACATCAGAAGAGCTCAAGCAAGTAAATTCTCTGATGTATGTTCTTCTTTCAATAACTATTTTTACATGTAAAAAAACAAAGAAAACGAAGTCGAGGTAACAAATCAAAGAAGATTTGAGTTCCAAAGAAATCATTTTTTGAACCCATAAAGATGTAACAAGTATGGGTTCCTAAGAATTCATCTCAATAGTCTTAACTAAAGACAACTAATGGAGTTAAAAAGAAGCACCTTAATTAAAGGTCTTCTAGGAGAAAGGGAAAAGTTAAAAAAGCATTGAGCCAATGTTTCTTTAACTGATTACAATGATTCAAAAGAGAGGTATGTTCCTAAACTTAATCTCAAATGGGTTCCTAAATGTTCTTTTTAGTTCTGAAGCAATGGGAGAGACTCTAAAATTCTCTAAGTTCATACACTACAAGAAAATTTTGATATTGCTAGGGAATGAATCTATTGGAAAAGCTAAAATTTCGTTGCAAAAGATGAATTGCTATGTAATTTGCAACAGCTCATATCCATCCCTAAAAACCACGTAGCAAGGTTCCCAATAGAAACAATAATCTTGTTGCAAACATGACAACAAAATGAAATCCGTATCAAATTTTGTGGTGATGAATCCCTAACAAAATTTGTGGTGATATATCTCTAGCTAAATCCACTGTGATGAATTCCTAGCAAAATTTATGGTGATGAATCTCTAGCTAAATCCGTTGTGATGAATCCCTAGCTAAATCCATTGTAATGAAAGCCTTGGTAAATCCGCTAGATAGCTACGAATTGATAATTAATTTACAAATTAGCCCAAATTATTTTGTACTAATATATAAAAACAAAGATAATAAAAAATCAGACAACATTTATATCATAAAATAAAACAATAAATATTTATTTTATAAAAAATGAAAAATGGCTAATCTAAAACAAATATTTTGTAGTAAACAAATTAACACTTTATGATCTAATACTTTTATAGGTCTTTAAAAACATTAATAACTACTAGTGCTTATTGTAGTTGCTTATTAAGTTGATCGATTCTTTTTTTTTTGTTGGTCATCATTGGCCTTCATTATCTCCTTAAGTTCTGCATTTTTTTCTTTTTTCTGATTAACAAGCTCCCTCAATTCGTCCAATTCAACAGTTTTTTTTTTTTTTTCGGGATGTAATTAGATACTTCTGTTGTGCCGTTAATCATGGGAATCACTGTTGCATATGAGCCAAATCCATACAGTCTTCTTTTCTTGTCATGACCACCAAAAACATCATAAAGTATTTAGTCTCCTCAACTTCTTCATCTACAACTGCCAACTCTTCATGTTTTTCCTACAAAGACCGCTTGCAAAATTATACTAATAATATAACAATATATCAAAGTTATGAATAACATGAAGTCTACAATATAAAACTTGGCATTTAAATGAATGTTACATGAATTTTTCTATCTTTTTCATTTTTAAATGTGTCTCCACCATGATTCTTTGTGTGTGTATACATGAACAATTTCACTATACGATGCATCACGTCCTAATTTCCTCTTCTGCATAAATACCATAAACGTAATATATATCCATACACATAAACATACAAATGCTGATGAAGAATTAATAAAAACTTACAAATCAGAAATGACCTTCAAATGAGCATGGTGTGGATATTGTGCGTGTAGAGGATGGTGTGTATTATGTAGGTGTTGAGGTTGTGGTAGTCAATGTTGGTGCACATGTAACGACCGTGTTTTCTCGCTATACATTAGTAATATGATATACTTGTAATGGTCAACAATTGTAATATTTATATGAAGTAAATAATTAGAATTATTGAGTATTATGTGTTCTATGTGTACTTATATGTACTGTATGTGCTTAAAGCGATATAATAAAATAGGAAGAAAAAAATATGTGTCTTAAAACCAATAATAATTAGATCGAATAACCTTGATTAAAGTTGAAGCAGTCGTGATGTGGATTCCGTTGATGTTTAGAATGAAGAAGTTGTGACCCGTTGATGTTTCATGTTTGACTCAATACGACAACGAGTGTCGTAAAAATTAAATTTCCGATTAGTTTCTTATTAGCCTAAGAAATCTAAACTAAAGTCATAATAATTTTAAAACCGAGATCATGCATATAGAGAATGCCTAAATCTGACTTCGTATGAGTAAGTTATAATTTTTCGAAATTTTAGCATAGCAATGCGGACACATAAATTGAATTTGAGATCAGTTGATTTTTTTGACGAAACAAACTAAATTTGAATCAAATATTTCTTTAATAGGAGTCCATAGATATAAAGACAATCGAGAACGGTCGTCGGATGACAAAGTTATGAATTTTTAACGGACTTTAACTTTCTATACTTGTTACAAATATAACTTTAAAATTACTCGACAAAGTTTAAATGAAAGTTGTAAATCTCGACGATAGCTACACATGGATATAAAATGCATAAAAAATGGAGCGTGCATAAAGAAGATATGAAATTTTAAAGAAATTATAATTTTTCGCTCACTGACGTACACACCGACATCATCAGGCGCGATGTTCCTCTGATAGCCCCTAAGATGTCACCACATTTCACTGTTAGATGACTACCACATCATCACTCCGAAATAAAGCGCGACATACCTAGATTGGGGGCATGACACACCCTACCTCTTTTCCTATATAAATAGCTTTCGAAGTTCAAAAAATTTTCCACACCTTTCACTTTTTTTTTCTCTCTCGGCTGCTTTCAATTCTATCTCCAAGATTTCTTATGTATTAGTATTCCAGAAAAGCCCTGCAATCCTTGAGTTCCTAACAAGTAGTAGCCATCGGGTAGAAGCTCTACCAGTGAAATTTCCAAAATTTTGTCTAAGGAATCTCTTTAATTTAAATTACACTCTATATTATTTAAAGTATAATTTATATTTATATTCATAGTCATTGTTGTGAATCTATAAATAAGATTTGTTAGTAATTCCAAGTCATTATATTGATTAATCTACTTACAGAGGCGATGTCTGGGAAAGATCTAGTGAGGTTTTTAAAGTAGGATTTCCAAACAATATACTCTATATACTAAACATACCATATCTTTTATATGATCTTATCTAATTGCTCATTACTTGATAGATCTTGATGTAGACATTGGGATTGTTGAGGACTCTAGACTATTAATTAGTCATAAGAAATAATAAACTAAGATTTAGTGATAATTGAACATAGGTCACATCAAAGGAAAGGTTAAGTTATAAAGCAAAGCGCTGCCCAACTTTCTAGTCATCCACTTTAACAAGTGAGTGCATAGTTACTTTTCGCTTACAAATAGATTAAAAAGTGTCTAGATGATTAATTGCTGTGTGTGCCTATTATCTGAATTACTTGATATCTATTAGGGATAAATTATATAATTTTTATTTGATTTAATCGTATATGTATTTTTATATATAAAATATATATTGGGTAGTGATGGGTGATGACAATGATGAGGATGATGAGAGGGCTTGACTATTAATGAACAAATCATGTAACATAGTATAGATGACGATCGCAGACTATTCAAGACTCCAGTTAAAACACTAGCATGTTCGTAACCTAAAGGTGTTAATGAACTATCTGTTCATTTGATATACTCTATCCCCTTATGGTTCCCTTATTAACATATATTTATTAAGTAATCCCTTAAGCAATATTGTCTACCTGTTGATGATGATGATCCTTAGGATAGATTCATTGAGATCAGTACTTTAGGATCATTGTGTGAGAATAACGGGAATGGTAATCGGGAAAATTATTTGATGTAAATAAAGAATTTAATTATTATGGGTTGAAAACCATATGTGCTCACCAGACCGCATGCCTAATCAACTCAGTTTCTTAGTATCATAGGTAGCAGTACGAAGGGACTTGGATGATAAGTAATTTGAGGAGTTTGTAAGCGATTAGTACAATAAGATGTTGTAAGGCCTATTAAGACTTGTTTATACTTATGTATCTATATTGACGATGACATCCCATGGTTTTAAATATTAATGAAATATATTTCCTTGGAAATGCTTTGATAATAATATGATCATATTTTGGGAACAAATTCCACATTATTTTTTATATACTAAAATAAATAAAACATAAATAAAAAGTTTTAAAATGGTCATGAAAATGAGAATATCACAGTTGGTATCAGAGCACAAGTTTAAGCGAACTATGAATATTTGAGGAATACTAAGCGATTACTATAAGATAAGTGTCTGCTATACTTTAGGTAGTATTCCTAAATTAACACATGCACTAGCTTATTTTACGAATGATGTCTAAATTGCTTTTATGGGCTAAATGAATTATGCTAAATCATGCTATAGCGATAAGATGCCTTAAGATGCTTTAGGTTGCCTACCAATGATGCTATTAGTTGAATAAATTAAACCTCTATTTTTGGACTAGGATTAGAAATTTTATGTATTAAGTATTCTAAATGTTTAATGCTGGTATTAGAACCGGCATGTAACCTTTCGGAGTGATAAGGAGAATTGTGCATCAAGAGCCTTCCCTATCATAATAAACTCACATCTCGGTACACTAAATGTCTATTTTGGTGTATAGATCGACATGGTGAGAATGGTACCAGTAGCTGAACCTGTTACGATGACAAGAGTCTTATCGATGATTCACGTTATATTAGTTGAAAAAAGGGAGGAAATGAGACAAATGTTACGAAATAATAGGGATGAAC